TAAGCAGATAGATTGACAGTACTAGACCAGGTAGTTCGTATCAGGCCCTAGTTGATTAAATAGATATAAGAAAATTGTCAGAACTGCAGTGTATTGATCTGTTTTTAGTTTTGCTCTTTATAATCTTCAATTAAAAACTAAATAGTAGATAAAAAAAAGTTAATCAAGGACATCCAATTTCTTCCATCCAAGGGCATCCAAAGGTCTATAAAACCCTCCACCAGTACCTGTGTGTGTGTGTGTATGTGTGTGTGTGTGTGTACTACAGCATGAGACTCAGGAAACAGAGAAGAATAAGAAGGAATGTGTGCCCCTACAGGTTTCTGTCTTCTGGGGAACGCAGATGCATAAGTGTGAGACTTCAGAATAATGTGCCAAATGTTACCACAGGCATTCGGAATGAAGTATCCGAGGTCTGTCTAGGCAGGTCAGAGGGTTAGGGAGAACAATGCGGAGATATGGGATGTACTTTGTTTAGTTTGTTTTCTTTTGCTGATGGTATTAAAACTTAAAAGGATAGAAATGGAAGGAAAACAGGCACTACTATTTTACAAACTGGATTATAAATTTACTAAATTTAAGACAATGAACTGTTTATTGAGAATGTGGAATATGGTGATAAAAAAGGAACGCGGCTTATAAGGAGTTTATAAATTAAAGGGTTGGATGAAAACAACTAAACCAGATTTTCAATATAAAGCAGAATCAAATGCATCCTAACAGAGAAATGCAAACAGCATGCCATGGGGGGAGAACAGCAAGGTTGTAAAACTTCAGTACAAGGGAGCTTGCAGTAAGCTGAGCTGGATGTCAGTAGGCAAGATGATGACAGACTTGTGTTAGCAAGGATGGCACACCTTGCCGTGTTCAGGCAGTGTGGTCCTCATCCAGCATGCCTGGAGCACGGAATGGCTTCTGAGATGTGATGGAAAAGAGAGACCAAAGAGCTAGCAGACAGCTACATGGAGCCCCAGGCTTAGAATTTGGGGCAAATCCCTAGACCCTGGGGAGCAATTAAAATATTTGATGAGGGGTGTGATATAATTCAATGTGCATCTTAGCGAGGTAATTTCTGACACACAAAAAATGGGGAATAACCAGAGAGTTTTATAATAGTTCCAGTGAAAGATTTTAAGATCCCAGATTAGGGTTCTTGTTCTGAAAGAATGAAAAGGAATAGTTGCTCTATTAGAGGTCATGAGTAGGTATTCTGTCAGGCAGGGGATGATAGAGCCATAGTGGATTACTAAACATATAAGACAGGGGCACCGGGTAGCTCAGTAGGTTAATTGTCTGCTTTTGGCTCACATCGTTATCCCTGGGTCCTGGGATCGAGCCCCCTGTCAAGCCCCATCTTGGGCTCCCTGCTCAGTGGGGAGCGTGCTTCTCCTTCTCCCTCTGTGGCTTCCCCCTGCTTGTGCTCTCTCTCTCCTTCTGTCAAATAAATAAAATCTTTAAAAAAAACACACACAAAAAAACTGCTACATTTTAGGGTACATATAAAGTGTAAAGGGTGCTTTACATTCCTGGGCTGTGTAGCTGATGAAGACTACAACATGGTGTGATATTTCCTTACACTGTTACCATTCACGGTGCTTCATAGTGACATAGAGGAAATATAATGATTGTATCTCCTTCTCTACTGATTCTTTTGTCTTGAGCTAACCCAGCTAAGAGGTGTGTGTGTGCTCCTCACTGTTGTGTATACTTGCAAAATATAGTAATAATGATGATGATGGTGGTGATGATGTAAACATTTACTTTGGAGTCACAACAAATATTTTGAAGAGGATTTAGGAATCCATGCAGTAAAGGTGGGTTTTGTTGTTGTTACGGTTCAGGTGAATGACAAGACCACACTTACAAGGAAGGGTCTTTGCGAACAGATTAGACATAACATTGTAAGTTCTACTCTGCCCAAGAGAAGAGTACAAATATTTGTTTTCACTTGAGTATTTTATTTGTTTTTTATTCATTTGCCATATGGTGGGACCATAGAATGCTTGTTTATTTTTTACTGCACAGAGTTTTCACTGTGGAGAATAGTGCTTCTCTGCTCTGTCATAGTCATTCACAAAGATGGTGTGCACTTGCGTGTGTGTGTGTGTGTGTGCACCTGTACAGACATGCTTCACTTAAGGTTGCTATTAGGAAGTTCTGGACTTGCAAGTTTTTCTTTGCTGAACATTTTTTTTTTTTTTTTAAGCAGAGGAGTATAATAGTTATCCACTAACAGCGTGGGTTTCACTCTGCCTATTAAGATTAGAATATTAGTGCGCATAGTCTCACAGATTAAATGTCTGAATGCATCTGATAATTAGGTATCTGTCGTAGCATTTCGAAGCTGGTCATCCACTTTCAAATACAGATGCTTACACTAACCTTGCAAGGACGCTCAAAGTAATTTCCTGCTTGTGAATTCTGACCGTGATTACAAGCCTAGTGATTGTCCTAGCTGGTAGAAGAGTGTCAGTGATGGGAAGGATGATGAAGTTCAGGGCTCCAGAGATAAAGCGTGTGTGTGCGTGTGTGTGTGTGTGTGTGGTGGTGGTGGTGGTGGTGGTGGTGGTAGTGATGGGAGTAGAAAAGAAGAAACCCGATCTTCAAATGACTAGAGAAACAAGTAATAAGAACCTTTTTTTTTTTCTTTGAGCTCTTATGCTATCAGTGATGGAGAACAATTAGCAATACCACATAACATAAAATACAGTGTCAGAGTTCAGGTTGACGATCAGCTCAGGATTTAATGTGTGTCATGTAATGAAAAGGAATGTGTCCTCCCTGCCTTACCTGGATACTATAGGAGCGTTGTATCACCGTGGGATGGAAACAGCAATTAGTTGATAGGAATTAGTTAAATGAGTCATAAGGGCTGGTTCTAAAAATGGTAGTCCCTAATGAGACTTAGAGACATAGCAAGCCTTTGATTAAAGACACAACCTGTATGTCATTTAAGTATTCCTGTGGTCATTGGATCGTCCCCTATTGTTTCACACCAAGGTCAGTGGTAGTGTGTAGACTCTTCTAATGTGGAGAGGCATGGATGGGGTGAGGAGGATGGCTGTGAAAAGTGTGTGGAGGGGTGGGCTTGTTTCCACCCATCATTTGCACTTGTCTCGGGGGTCAAGTTTTTTGCCCTGTGTTGTTGAAGGTGGCAGAGTGTTTTATTGTTCCTTAATGCTGAGAAAGGAACCTTCTGTTAAGTCATAAAATGTTTGATGGAAACCACTCAAAGCACCGAGCTTCTTTAAGACTCGGGAGTAGTCGGGGGTGAGGGTTCATGCACCTTTCCTTCTCTGAATTGTCCTCTGCTGCAGCTTTTGATGTCCCCACTTCGCTGGCCCCAGATGTCTGCAGAGGCAACATCTCATGGCAGGGCATGGAGATCGAGCTTTCCAGCAGCCCCTGCTTCTCGTAATCCTGGTGTAGCCACCGAGCACGGGGCATGTGACCTCAGGCGAGGCACTCAGCCTTTCTTTACCTTAGTTTCCTGTTGGTAGAAATAATGAATTCATTCAATGTGGGGATGAAATGAACTACTATCTAGAGAACGTTAAGACTAGTGCCTGGCACAGAGGAATCACTCAAGCCATCCAAGCTATAGTGATGTTCAGCTTGTTTTCTTCTTTCAGGGAGCTATAGATGCAACAGTAACTCTGAGAGTGACTTAAGAAAATTAAGCAATTCACCATATTTCCAGAACGCAACCTTTCCAGATGGGTGGGTCAATGTGCAGTACAGTGATCCACTAGATAATTCCACATGGAACAAAGCTAAATTATAACTCATGCCAGTAACTAATTTTTTGTATTACTGAGCCCGGATTTAAAAAAAAAAAAAAAAACTACAGAAACTAAAGGAGAAATCAGGTCCTTAAGTGTTCTGAGCAGAGTGTAAACACAGCTGTTACCGTGTAGGGGAAGAAGCGCTTAGAGAAACCGTGATGTAAAGAGTGGTACCATCCACACCTAACACAGAAGGAAGAAAACGTTCTGCGGGCACACCTCCCTAAGTCGTGTTCAGTATTTGCTGTTTGTAGCACCTCGTCTTTTAAAGAATGCAAACCCAGTTCTGTAAGACTGCAATTTTGCAAATTGGGTGTTTGCATTCTCAAAGTCCAGATGATGGCGGTTATAGGGGATGAACGATTGTGGAGACGACAGATTGAGTCCTGTGTTTTTCAGGTTAGGAAGTTCAGGAGAATGTGTAATCATGCCTGAGTTTCCTTAGGTTCCTCTGTTCAACATAATGTTCTGACATACAGCAGGGACAGTTCGATACGGAATGATACGGAATGCAAATCAGTAGGTGCTGTCCCTACTGCCTATTGCTGGGGTTAATCATGCAAATCTAATGCAGTTCTTGGTATTTCAAGAAAGGTTTGAGTTGAAGTCTCAGGCATATACTGATTTAAAATTCCTACTTCGGAGAGCAGTGTAATTTTTCTCGGCTTCACATTTTAAAATACAGAACAGGATCTGGAGGCGGATTTAGTGAGTGGACATCCATCCATACTTGTTAATCATGAGAGGGGGTGGGAGGGAAGGGTGTCCTTAAAGAATGTGGGAGTTTCTAAGCATATTAAATACTTTATTAGATCTAAATTTGCAAATGTTCTATAGCAAGTCCCTTTGCTTGGAATAAGATCAAATCAACTGATTATTCGTGTTTACTGAATGCTCTGTTCCAAGAAGATGGCTAAAACTGGCAAGGACAGACCAAATAAAAATTAACACCACCACAAGTTCCTAACTTTGGGAATGGTAGAAAATACCTTTGGAAATGAGACTGTTTACAGGAAGAAGTGAAATTGTCTTGCTCCCAAGTGCAAGCTGACACATTCTAATAGCCTTTCTGCTGTGCACAATAAACATCAGCTTATCTTTCCAAGAACAATAAAATTTCATGTCCTGCTGCCTGACATAAGAATTATTTTTACATATCTCCATATCGCTGACTCTCTTGTAAGTTAATCTCATCTCACATGAATTTTTCACCAGCTTCACTCTGATGTTGATAAAGGAGATGGTTCCATCAAATACATCTTGTCAGGCGAAGGGGCAAGTTCCATTTTCATTATTGATGAGAACACGGGGGATATTCATGCTACCAAGAGGCTGGACCGGGAGGAGCAGGCCTACTACACGCTCCGCGCCCAGGCGCTGGACAGGCTCACCAACAAGCCTGTGGAGCCCGAGTCCGAGTTTGTTATCAAGATTCAGGACATCAATGACAACGAGCCCAAGTTCTTGGACGGCCCGTACACGGCAGGAGTTCCCGAAATGTCTCCTGTGGGTAAGTAAAGAACATGCTGCTTTGGCAGTGTCTGGTTTTAGGGGGGGTCTGTGTTTAAAAGCAGATCATCATAAGTACTGAAAAAAAAAATCGCTTCAGTGTCGGTACGGCAATGTCCAGTGAGGATGAGGGGGAAGTTCGAGGTGCCTTAGGAGCCGGCGTCCCAGTCTGAGTATTCAGATCGTTATTTTGTTTCTATGGAAAATTAAGAAAATGTTCCTTTCCCACAGGGATCTCAGTGTCTTTAGTACATTGCTCATTCCCTTTTCAATGTAATATTTAATTTTAAAAAATGATTAAAAGCACCCCTAGGAAGTTAAAAAAGAAAATCCTTGCAGACCCTGGCCTGTGGTAATCTTTTCTTTCTCCTGACTAATATTAATGATTCACTCTTCGAGGAATCCTTCAGTGGCCAAGGTATCAGGCTGCCCATCTAATGTTTAGATGAGCTGGTCTGTTTGTTTGTAGAGTAGGCTTGAACCCACAAATGTCCCTCCATGTGCCACCACTAATCTTTTTGTAATTTCTCCAGAAACTTAACATGTGTGGAAATTTATATTGAATTGATAGTGGTAAAGTGATACTTCATTTGAGATATATAAAAGAACCATGAGGGCTGTTTTATTCAGAGGGCTCGTCACCCTGCCGCATTACCGGAAACACAGAAAGTAAAGTACTTCCGGTATATGCTTTATTTCTATCAAATGATAAAAAGTCAGTTTTAAATAATTGAATCAGATGTCTTTGGAATAATTTTCAGCCAGTATGTAATTTTAGATGATCTTACAATACAAAGCAAAAAAATATGGGGCTTAACTAGACCAGTTGATTTATATATTTATTTGCTGTCATTTTTCGTCCTGAAGTAAGACAGTTATTTAAAGTAATAATTGAATTTGTATTTTAACAGGCGAACATTTTACCCAATGTGATTTGTTTTATATTACATAAAGGTCACTTCATTCATTCCAGCATTCAGCCCACAGATCGACTGTGTTAGGAAGTGGAATTGCAAAATGTGTATTATGTGTGCCCTTTAGGAGAGCCACAATTTAGTGACCCTAAATTCCTAACAGATGGGAGCGTGAAAATTATTTAAGGTACCATTACTCTAGCCAGAAAGAAAATAGAAACAGAAATAGAAACAGAAAATGAACCAGAAGAATGGATGCTTGTGGTCCGGAAAAATTCAGAACCCCAGAGGCAGCATCTCACTGTACCTAGCATCTCAGTGAGTGTTTCTTTGACCAAACAGGCTTATTCACACTTTCTCAGTACTGCCCCACATCTTCAGTGCTGCTTGCTGTTGCTTAACAACAAGAACAACTAGGAGACAGCTGCCACAACAGGATTTGCAGGTTTTAAAGAAAAAGGGAAGGTACTTTGTCCTCCCACAACTAGTCGTGTTTAGAAAAACAAGAAGCTTTGAGCTGTGTTTGAGGAGGTCGGCCCAACTCCCTAACTTTCATATGGGCATGTTGGACATTCTTCATCGGCTTGTTACCATTTTCCTTCGCTACCCAGAATGTAGCCATGCAAACTGGATTAATGTGAACTTAGTTCTTCTCGAGGTGAAATAACGCACACTGTAGTTTGGGTTTTAATTGTACCGCTCTGATATCAAACAGCATGATTATTATGCACACATGCAAGTTATATTAGTTAATTGATCAATTCCAGCAGGTTCAGAACTTTTTAGAAAATCATTTTCAGGTGCCTTCAGGATTTAACTGACATTAATCAAGAATTCTGGAATAACAGAAATTTAAACTAAGATCACTGGAAGTCTACATTAAATACGTAATGTGGACCTATAGTGAGTTGTAGTTTATCAGAGGGTTTAATTCTAACCAAGTAGTTGTAGTAGCCACTAAATATTATGGCATATACAATACAAGCATTCAGTGTTTAATATTCAGGGCTGTGTTTTTCACTGGAGGCTCACCGCAAGATTGAAAACACACTAATAAGCCCTTAGGTTAGTTCATTCATTTCCAGATGAGCGTAGATAAGCATGGACAATTTAAAGTCATTTAAAAATATGTGTGCAGGGGCGCCTGGGTGGCTCAGTGGGTTAAAGCCTCTGCCTTTGGCTCGGGTCATGATCCCAGGGTCCTGAGATTGAGCCCCGCATGGGGCTTTCTGCTCAGCGGGGAGCCTGCTTCCTCCTCTCTCTCTCTCTGCCTGCCTCTCTGCCTACTTGTGATCTCTGTCTGTCAAATGGATAAATAAAATCTTTGAAAAAAATACTATTAAAAAAATATGTGTGCATGTGTGTCATGCATGTGTACGTGTATGCATATATAAGGTGAATTTCTTAGTGAACACTTCAGGAAAAATTATATACTACCCAATTTACTAAAGTAGTTTTGATTATTTTGTTTAAGGCACTTTCCTTTTCTTTTTTTTTTTTTTTTTAAGATTTTATCTATTTGACAGAGAGATCACAAGTAGGCAGAGAGGCAGGCAGAGAGAGAGAGGAGGAAGCAGGCTCCCTGCCGAGCAGAGAGCCCGATGCAGGACTCAATCCCAGAACCCTGAGATCATGACCTGAGCCGAAGGCAGAGGCTTAACCCACTGAGCCACCCAGGCGCCCCTGCACTTTCCTTTTCAAATGAAGGAGGAAATCAATACTTAAGCATGTCACCAGAGTAAATATTGCTGTAAAGATGGTGCATTGTGAAGAAAATAGAGAATATTAATGCCATTAATTCTAATATTTTAAAATAATCATAATTTAATTTTTAAAAATATTTTAAATATGCACCGTTTATTGTTTGGTCCTACCAGGCATCTGCAGGGCACAATCAACTAAGTCTGTCAAATAAAAACAAAAAAATCAGAATTTTAAAAACAGTGCTATATACATAGCTTCATAATACGCACCCATTTTTAAAGAAAATGGGGTTGGTAAGGAAAAACATAGTGCTGAAAAGACAATAGATTTGTAACAAGATGGACATTAATGACTTATTTAAAGGACTTAGGGAAATCTCTTTAGAAATATATTGAAATGAGATGTTAGATTAAAAATGTTTTCAATAAATTATTAGAAACAAATCCAAATCTTGGAAGAATTCAGAAAGAAAAAGACTTGTTCCATTCCCATCAATAGGACATAAATGGTAAAATAACCTGTGCTTAAAATATGTAAACTAAGTAAATGCAAGTAACATTTTTAAGATTCAGCTCCAAATGGAAATAAAAAGAACACATCACGATAAATGCTCTCCATATGGAATAAGTGAACACATAGTCAAATGCAGAAGCCATAGGGCTTTCTATCACATGCAATATAGAAAAACAAATAATAATGCAATTTTTAAGGTTGCCGTGGTTTTCCTCCTTTGGGCGGGTGGGGTAGATTTTCATTTTATGCTTTTATTTTTCAATCAATTCATAGAAACAAATGAAAATTAAAACTATTCCTGAAGAGATGCCACCTAATAGCCAGTTAAGTGGATCCATCATTAACTTACTCAGTTAATGAAGTTTCATTTTCTGTCTGGCTCTACTCAGTTATAATAGTGAGATCCCTTCGGTGACTTGGGTGTCAAGATGCTGTTACTTGTCACAGTGCCTTCTGGACAGTAATGGAGACTTATAGCTATTGCTCTTGATAAAAACTTGTTACCTGACCCTGATGGATGAGATGCCTAAAATTTGAGTCCCTTCCAATTCTGAGGATCCTCCTAATGGCCATCATCAATCTTATTATTATTATTTTTTTTTGCTAACATATTTTTGTAGCCCTTAAATCTTTCTGAGGGCTTAATTAGCATTTATCTTCATTTTGGGTTTGTCTGTTACAAAAAATATGTCAATTTTTCATATGCCTTGAAACATGAAAAAAAGAAAGTAATTAAAAACAAAGGTGTGTTCAGCGTTTTGTGAATCATTCTGTTTTATGGCATTTGGAAGTTTTTAATTCATTGGTTTTTGGATTGGCACATAGGGACCTCAGTGGTACAAGTGACAGCAACAGATGCCGATGACCCTACGTATGGTAACAGCGCCCGAGTGGTCTACAGCATTCTGCAAGGACAGCCATACTTCTCAGTGGAGCCAAAGACAGGTAAACATTGAAATGTGACTCTTCTTATAATGTCATCACCTGTGTCTCGGCACAGAGTTAGTATTAGTTATTTTTATTTGATACAGTTGACGCTGATAATAGACGCTGCATGGCTTCTGAGCTTCTCTCAATATGTGAACTGTGGTAATAAACACATTATTTATTGAGGCGTTAGCATCTTCCAAGAGTATTTTATTAGGTTTATCAGAACTTCTACCAAATTTAAAATATTATGTGTTAAAAAAGTATTTCAGCTGCTATCTCCTGACTGTATAAGAAAATATTATTTACATCATTTTCTTTTTGTCTTGCTTTAACTAATTCATGTAGAAATCACACACAATTAAATTTAAATCTGAAGCAGGAACCTTCCTGACATGCAGTAGGATGGGTAGTAAGTTCAGGTTATCTTCTAAGTCTGGTTTACTCAGGAGAATTAGTTTAAACATAACAATTAAGATGATGGTCTGCTAAATTAAAAACTAAATTAAGTGATTTAATTTTAGAAGGAAAAAACATATTTTCTATGAGTTGCATGACTGCCTGGATAGAATATGTAGTTGGTTGGCTAGGTGTTCTGTTTTGCTTTTAAGTTGAAATAGTTTACAGTAAGTAAGAAAGACTCTAGAGCACTGTTACCATGATTATAAAATAACATTTTATCTATTCTGCTTTTCTGGTTCTGCGTGAAGGGAGGAGGGGTGAGTGTGGAGATGGGTGGTTTGTGCCACTGGCCTTCTTCACCATGAAATACAGAATTTTTCCATATTGTAACAATTTTGTCTTTATTGTAAAGAAAATTATTCTTAAAACAGCCAAGTTTATGATTATTGGATAGGACCTATGACCTTAAATGATTATTTTAATGATACTTAGACTATTTTCCACATAAATGGTAATATTAATTCATTTTCAAATCACTGTGGAGGATAAATATTTTAAGCATCTTTTGAAAATGGTAGTTGTAATGTGCATGAATGGAAAAATAAATTCAATCTTACCTCACCAATAGAGTTTTTACAGAGATATATTTGCATATTTTATACCAATATAGTGGTAGAGTCTGGAACTACCTGGACAGTCTAACAGAGAAGAAACAGTTCTGATTAAGCAAGTATTGAAGGAGAAATAAACAAAACTATTTGATTTATGATATGAATCCTGTGAACGTAGAACGTGTGCTTGTGGTTGATTTAATGATAGATCTGAGAAGCATAAATCCACCCACCCATTCCCTTATAAATCGACTCTTTGCAGCCTACAAAGACATTGACAAGTTTCTGACAATTTGCTCACAAATTATACACTCCTGCATTATATAACCTGTCCAGAAATAGCATGCACTCCTCCCTAGGGTTAAATATTTTGCTGGTACTAATGATTGGCTTTTGATTTTAGCTTTGTGGTACAGTGATCATTTTTCCTTAAAGTCCTGTGGAGGTAAGGTAAGGCCTCTGACTGAGCAAGCAGACAATCGTCCATGTCATGGGATCACGTTATTAGTACTTCAAATTAATTCTAATTTCAGAATCTCGAGGACTGTGTATTGTAGGAGATGAAGAGGTCAGTTTAATTTTGTTTTGTTTAGAGTTTTTCATATTGTAATTATGGTAATCATTGGGACTTCTCTTTGTACGGTCATTAGTGCAGAGATATCCTGGAAATTTTTGTCCTCTGCTAATTTATAATATGGATAGTGTATTTGCAAAACAAATCTATTTTTTTCATAAAAATGGAAAGTTTTCAACCCTTAAAGGCATGTATATCTGTGAATCAAGTTTGACTTAGTCTTCATAGTTGGTGTCAGTTGATTTTTATCTATGTGAGAAATAACATGAATTTCTAAATCTTTAAATCTAAGAGTTTTTAAAAAAGAAAGTAAAATTTTTGATAGGAAAAATACTGGAAATATGCTAAATCGGGATTTTGTAAAAATAGGCACTGGGAGGGTTGCCTGGGTGGCTCAGTGGGTCAAAACCTCTGCCTTCAGCTCAGGTCATGATCCCAGGGTCCTGGGATCGAGTCCTGGGATCGAGCCCCGCATCGGGCTCTCTGCTCACCGGGGAGCCTGCTTCCCCCTCTCTCTCTCTGCCTGCCTCTCTGCCTACTTGTGATCTCTGTCTGTCCAATAAATAAACAAAATCTTAAAAAAAAAAAAAGCAATAGGCACAGGGAATTACTGTTAGATGGCATTTCTATAAGTTTAACTTCTGATTTTTTTTTCTAATATTAATAATACCTATTGCCGTTTAGTAATCACACATCATGAACCTGGCACGGCCACAGCTTCTGGTCACATATTATACCTGTAGCACTACTCACAGCCCAGATGACCAGAGGGTAACTGTATTTCCCACCTTATTTCTCCATCAGGAAGACAAGACTGTAAGTAGCCGCAAAAGCCAATGTTAGCAGTTTGCTCTAATAAGCAAACAGAATGGCACTAGGAGCACGATAAGGCAACATTAAAGGACTCAGAGATTCCCATCACCCATCTCCATAATGACCACAAACTGCTGGGAGGCTGGGGGTTGGTTATTCTGAGGTTTCATCTGCTCTGTAACCTGCAAGCAAATTGACTCCATGTTTCAGTCTATTCGATACATGGTAGGACTGGCTACATAATTTGCAGTTCAACATGGAAATGCAGGGCCTGTCTTCTAAAATTAACAGGACTTCAAGATATTATCAACAGAGCGAGAAACAAGCCTGGGACCTGCGACCCCTGCACAGGTCACGTGGCCATAAAGCTGGCCCTGAAAAATGGATTGAATGATAAAACACAACTTGTCATTTAGGAGTTCCTTCTTAATATAGAGGTGTGACTACGCAATACCTGCGTCATATATTACATACCCACTTGTGACGCCATAACTTTATGTAAGTAATATAGTTATAACAAAGCCCCTCCCCCATGTGCCCTGGAAATGCATTCCATTCTGTGGTGTGGAGGACCCTCCTTCCTGTCAGGCTTGCTGAGAATGTCCTCTCAGAGATTACAAGACTCCCTTCCTCAGAGACTCTTCATTTGATGCCAACTCTGAAATTCTTTAGTTTCTAGAAGCGTCCATGTTTGCTATCATTGGTTCTCCTCTGACTTTTTATGGTTTTATCATATGCTTCACTTACAGAGGGACAAACCAAATATAAACACAGCTTAGATGTCAAATTTAGAAATATAAACTAATAGGAAGAGATGCACCATGTACATCTAATGTGTCTCAGATCCACATGGCATGAAGCCCCGTAGACCTCTGTTACCTGGGTCATGTGGTTGCCTAGACCCTAGACCAGTCCAAGACCTGAGTGTGTAGATGCCAGGCCTTGGGGATTCTTTGGATCCCTAAATGGGGTGGATATCAGAACCAGCTATTATCTGTTACATTTAGTACATATTTATATTCATGAGAAGTTCCATGGTAAAACAATATGCTTTAAAACAATCATAAATGGCTGTTAGGAAACAAAAGAATCATCTGAAAATTTGTTCCCAGACTGAAAACCAGACAGTTGTTGAGCAATAGTGATGATAAATTAATGTTTCATATGCACAGTATTTTTTGTGCCCATGGATTACGCATAAATGGAAAGTTCTGGGTTATTAGGTCAGATGATACATCTATAGAAAAATTATTATTCAGGAAGCTTAAATTCTGAACTAATCTCTTTTCTAAAGAGCGACTGGAAATATTCTTATCATAAGTGGCTTGAAATGGCTGATACTGAAATCAAATAATGTTGTTGTCTTCCATGAAAATCTCACAGAACTATAGAGATCTGGCTAGACAAAACTGGCCTTTACTACTTCAGAGATGTAGTGTTAGCAATTTGCTGTATGTGTGTGTCTCCATAATATATAGCAAAGTGCAAATCAGATCCATTGCCTGAGAACTCTTTGCCAAATGTAGACAGTTTTATTTAAAACTAAAGAGCTAGCAAAAGTCATGGGGCTGGAAATCTATTATTTTTGAATGTCCTTATTTAAATTCATTTCTCTCCCAATTATTCCATTCTTGTCAAAAATATGTTTAATATTTGAGGTATTTGGAAATTACCTTTGCCATCTGGTTACTTTGCAAACTTTGTGATGATTTTTACTTTGGAAAAGGGCTATTTATAGGATCACTTGTAAAGAAACAATTAAAAGTGTGAAAAATAAGTGAGTAACTTTGACTACCAGACTTCTTTCTTAATAATGTTACATTTCCTTACAAAAATAATTCCACCAAGCAAAACCATGAGAGGATGAGGCTGCCGTGTTTTCCTTGCTGATTAGTTGAGATATTAAGGCCTCTCTCCATCATTATGAAGGTGTAAGGATGAAAACTCACTTGTACCTATTGATTTCAGAAGGAAAAACAAGAGATGTCCTGAAGTTAAAAAAAAAAAAAATGAATGAATAGGAAATGATTCTAAACACAGCTCATTAATATTTTGTTATCTAATGATACACTTAATGATCAAATAGTAAAGAGAACCAATCCTCAATTTATTTAAAAAAAAAAAGGAGTTACACATAAATAAAGAATGGTTAACATCTGAAACAAAAAAAAGGAAAAAGAGATATGTAAGTCCCAGAACTCTTAGACAAAGACATTTTATGCTCAGTAGCAATATTACTGAGATCAGCACTTATTGTATCATAGAGTTAACAGAAGTATTGAAGAACAAATATGAAATACATGTGGAAACATTATGACACTAAGAAGAATAGGTAGTAGACACTGATCAACCAAACCAGACCAGTATGTGACTCTTTCTTCTGATTTTCATGTTTCTTTGATAGTTCACATATTAACTATAAGCAGTGTGTAGATAGCCAAAAGAATTCAGGGAAGGAGTTACTTAAACTGTATTTGCTGTACTTGTAGCAACACTGCCTGATGAGAAAAAGTGTTCAAAGTTTAGAAACAAAACAAAACTGTCCTAACTTAAGGAAGTGTAACTCAAACACTTAAAATACTGATGTGTTGTTGTTGTGTGTATATGTGTGGGTGTGTTTGTGTTTGATGGCTAGTGCTCAGACTAAATGCAAATATGGTCACTTAAGACAGGATGAGTGTTGTTTAACTTGGAATCTTGGGAACTAATAACAAATTGCTTAAATTTTTCCTGTGCTATTGAAGGGCTTTTCTCATCTGTTTCCCAACCCTAGAACAGTTACCAAACTGTCAAATATTATGAAGTAGAGGGCAGGCCTTGTATAGTTTCCTGTAGGCTTATTCTTGTTGCTGAAATTAACATACACTATAAATAAAATATAACACATATTATCAATAGAATATAGCACACCATTATGACATGTGTACATTGAATAATCAGCCTTTAAATTAGCAGCTTTTAAAAAATATAAATCTGGTGGATATAACATTTTTATGCTAAACATGAGGAATGAAAGAAGCTTCATCCCAAATTAAACAATTATTTGCAATTATTTTATTCCCGAAGAACGATCCTCTATCAAACAAGCTGGTTTTGCTGTTGTTTTGCTACTGAAAAGTCCATAATACCACAATTTCTCATCCTTAGGTCCGAGTCAATGAAGATTTAAATCCTGACCTCCCCATAAAAAGTAGAATCTGTTTAATATAATAGATTAGACATCTTTCAAGCTATGGTCCTAGGTGGATAGGTAAGACATAGTTTTTGTTGGAAAAGATGAAATTGCAAGAAATAATTAAGTAGGAATCTGTATAGATCAATGTTAAATACATTCTTATCTGATAACCCCTCTATGTACATATACTAAGTATATTAGGTAAATATATCATTTTATATATTTACATATGATGTTAAACTAAATTTCCTCCCATTTTTAAATATTATTGCCTAATATACTTAGGCAGTAATTAAATAGTTATAAAAGAACTAATTTACTGTACCAATGACTACTGTGTCAGGTTTCCCCATCGATCAAAATGAAAGTCTGAAATCAATTTCTCCTGCATTTGAAGCCTTAAGGGTGATCAATATTCAATGCAATTGATTACAAACAAACAGCAACAAAACCCATGAATGTTTTCAGTGTTGCTGATTTATATTAACATAGTCGTTCTCATGTTTAGTGCTTTTTCTCAGATCTTTCGATACAGGGTAACACCATCGTGCATCATAACCACAACCACAACTATAGCCATAGTTTAAAATGGTGTTTTTCTTATTAAACATAAATCACTCTCATTTTTTGCTTTGTAGACTATTTCAGCTATTTTTTCTCAAAGAGAGGTAATGGGAACCGTAACTGAAAGGTGATAGTGATTTCACATCACCTGGGAATTAAGTGGTTAGAGAGGGTGAAAGAGAAGAAAAAGAGCGTTTCATTGTCCTGTACCTGCACAAGTTACTGCCCATTATTTTAGATGAGGACTTCATGTTATTTATTTATAAGTTGTTATTTTGAACCGTATTTTCATAAAACCGAAAGATAATCCTCTCTATCCAATATTGAGAAGCCCTCCCTGCTTTTCCCTTGTTATAGCACTCTTTGTGTTTTGTAATATTGTATGTAACTATTATGTTCCCTTGGTCTTTAATAGGCGGTAAGATTGTTTAAAATAAAACAACAAAAGGCAACAACTCAGGAGTGACTTGCTACCTGTATCAGTGTTCTTTGCTAGTATAAATGCAATGATTCATGATGCGTTTTACTGGGATTTGAAATTTTACAGGAGTCATCAAGACCGCCCTTCCAAACATGGATAGAGAGGCTAAAGACCAGTATTTGCTTGTTATTCAGGCAAAGGATATGGTTGGTCAAAATGGAGGACTCTCAGGAACTACGTCAGTCACCGTGACCCTAACTGATGTCAATGATAACCCACCTCGCTTTCCTCGAAGTAAGTTATTTTGTTAAATACTCCCAAGTGCCCTAACTTCCCTTGCCGGTCTATAAAATGTCTTTTAAAAGGACTCTTTCCAAATACTTCTCAAACAAGTGACCTTACTGCATTCTCTCACAATTTTGTTTCATGAGGGTCATGGATTTTAATTCAGAAATGTAGAATTTAAAGTGTATTGAAAATGAAAAGAGGCAATCATATCTTTGTATTACTTCTGTCTTCAATATAATATGGTTTTTCTTTGGTTCATATTTTTAATACCAGTTATTAAGTTCATTTATATAATCATCTTTTCATTCTAAGATATTCTTTGTACACGTTCTATAAGTTACAAGGTTGTTGCCAATTGTACATTCAGATAAATTTCATGCATTCTATACACTGAAAGTGTTGATTTATTTTAAAGATAAAAATGGAAGAGCACTAAACTTTTTCATTTTTTTACTCCATACTTTTTTTTTTAGCCATTTCATGCACATTAAACATTCCTTTAGCAGTTCTACCATCTCTTTCTTGTGCAAACATTCAGTGTTTCAAAAGAAGTCAATTCAAAGAACCAGAAAACCACATGCCCTCAATTTAGTTTCTATGACCAAAGCGGCTTTTGACTTAGCCAAGAAAAAAAGGGGGGTTGGAATTGTAGGTAGAAATGTCTTGATTATAGAAAAGCATTTCATCTCACTCTCTTTTAGTTTTTTTTTTTTTTTTCCTTTTGTAAGTATATGTGGTATTTCTTTACAATGCTCAGGAAAATAAGGAAATTGTATAGACTATTATGTCTTTAAAATGTTTGTTTGATAGACATGAGTAACGAAACTTCCTTACAAAAACAGATCTTCGAAGTGAACAATGTCAAGGAAGCTTTCTCTGTAAACATGAAAGACACTGTTTTCCTGCAAATACTTCGTCTTTGAATGTTTCATTTTTATTTTACACATTTTTAATATGTAATACTGTTATATGATATTGCTATAGAACATTTTAATACCTCCTAAGAAAATAAAGTTGAAATTACTCTTAAGTTTAGCATTCATAAAAAAAGGAACTCATCCTTAATTGTGTCCTTGATAGCTTATAATGGGAGAGGAGAGGAAGGTTGTAGAATAAGAAAAATAATAACATAATTATATTGGGCTCACAATAAACATTTTTCTTTAAGTCTAGAGTGGTAAGAATTGATACTTAGAATTTTTGTTGTTTCAGTTGTCATGATTTGATAAGATACAGTACAGGTTTTCTAGCTTATTAGATGCTCTCTTACTTATTAAAGTGAGGGAAGCCACGGATATGTCATTGGGTTTTTCAGTTTTGCGGGATGCTCTCTACCATGTGTAGTTAATATTCTATCCTTAAAATTTCTGGATTTTACTAAGAATGCTTTGGATATGTGAAAGGGGTCAATCAAAAGTCATCAGCATATCTTTTCATTTTTTTTAAATCAGTAACTATTCACAAAATTTATAAAATTGCTAACAACAATAATTTTGAGCTGAAAATATGGTCCCTTCATATGGTTACATTTTCCTTCTTCAGTTCCTTCGAAAAGAATCTTTCTCTTCATAAGAAAGTGAAAATATACCACATTTAACAACCTGAAGGGAATGGAATAGGTGGAGGAAGCAGGAAAAAAAACCAGATGATTAGAGAAAAATGGTTCTGAGGAGTTTTCTGGTTTCAAAGGGATGATTCATGGTCATCTGCTTTCCAGAGTTTTTCTTTTCCTTGACTTGCAGGATGGTGAAGAGGAATTTTTACAACAGAAAGTTAGAAAGCTTCTCTTTCTATCTTACTTTTCTTTCCTCGGTACAAATAATATCTCCTCTGCTCTTGTGTCATTGTGTCCCAAATCAGTTCCACATATAACCCACGGTGATAACTCTTATTTCTGATAAATTTATGAGCTAAAACAAGGCTAATCTGATCTTTCATCAATGTCCTTGTCCAGTTGTCTGAAACCTTCTTAGTAAAAGACACTGTTACATAAATCCTAACAATAAGTAATCAGAACTATTTAGTCTTCTGTCGCCCATATGAAGCCTAAGTTCTGCTGTTTTCATTTTTTAATATTAATATTAATTATATTTTAATTATTTAGATTCAATGGTTACATGCTTAATTTTATGTATAACCATGTTAAATTTATTTATTATTAAAAATAGCTTATTTCTCACCAGTAGAAATACAGGAATGGAGACACTTATCATGCCTTTCTCAGACTGTTTCTGCTGTCACATATTAATTATTATTAGATCATTGCCAAGGAATTTCTGGAGTCTATATGAAACCTGTCCTTTATCTCATATTGCCTTAGCATATTTTTTAAGTAAAATACAAAAACAAATTAAGCAAAGATGATGCAAAATGGCCACATAGTTAAGTATTTTGGGGTTAGCTTTTGTGTAATTTGTTCACTTCTGGATGTGAATTTCACAGGGTCTTACCAGTATAACGTCCCAGAGTCCTTGCCAGTGGCCTCCGTTGTGGCCAGGATCAAAGCGGCTGATGCAGATATAGGCGCTAATGCTGAAATGGAATACAAAATTGTGGATGGTGATGGACTGGGGATTTTCAAGATTTCTGTTGATAAAGACACCCAGGAAGGCATCATTACTATACAGAAGGTAATATTTCCTTTACTTTTAAGTTCTGTGAAGGTAGCACCACAGCGCATACAAAACAGGAAGCCATGTTTGCTTTGATAGAAGAATGTATTGGACAAAATAAATGACCGTGTGGAACTATTATTATTTTGACTTTAGGAAGAAAAGGTCTGTGTTTATTTTGAGGTGTCAGAATCATAGAGAATCGTGAATGACATTTGTAATCATGCCCTGACTAGTCTCTACAGCGTAATCCCACAGCCCTTATCTGTAATGCTAAGACAGTAAGGCACACTGGAGATGTGCTGTTTTAAATGACCTCTGTGGAGAGGTGAGTATGTTTCTTTGTTGACTATTCCAGGCATGAAACCCCTAAAATCAACTAAAAGTCTTTGTTAGGAAGCTAGACAGACACTCCATATATGTGAAAGCAGTGCAAAGTTGGAAATAGAAACCGAAATGTTGAAGACTTGCTACATTATCAGTTATTCCTTTTTACAGTTTATACTAATTGAAGTGTTTGAGGAATTCGTATGGAGCATGAAAAGTTGTGAAGCTTATCATAATCCCCTAAATATAAGTGCAAAGGAGATAGAAAATCCCTATAATCCAAACTAAAGACTCTGTCATGGTATATTTAAATTAGCTCCCAATACTGATTAGATAAGGAGGAAAATGAGCTATTTATTCCTTCTGCTTTGTATAGACATGATCTTTGACAAATGTTAAATCAAAAAAAAATTATTGCAAAAAAAATTATTTGAAATAGTAAAAATTAAAATATGTGGAAAACCCCCACCCCCTGAATAATGGAATTTTATGTCAGTCTGACAATCCAGGTGTATAACTCTGTAATTAACACTCCTCAATAATTAACACATGTCCATAAAGAAAGTTATATTTTAGTTGTTACAGGAAAACATATGTTTGATTTTAGGCCAATGGGCAAAACATTTCTGCAATTATTTCCAGTGGACAGCTGCTATTTTAGCTCAGCTGGTGACAATCTGTGTAAAAAAGTTTTAATAACTAGGATAGGCCAACTGTTGGCAAAATGTTTTGTTTTGTTGTCTAAAATAAAAAGAATGCAATAAGGTACGATGTTGCTCAAAGGTTTCAAAGATTCATCTGAAATCAATCTGTTCCTATTCTAGAATTGTAAATATATATTGAAATTATTTTTATTGAACACATACATTTCATATATTATAAAGAGCATAAAGCATGGAAGAAACATATACACAAATATATGTATTTGATATATTTAGTTCAGTAATAAAGTTCATCTTCAGTTTCTTAACATTACTTTTTAACGTTTGGGGAATTAACTGTTAATTCTGGTCACAGTCAAATAGCACACTTTTTTTTTTTTCAAGTTTACAGCTTTGTAGTCATTTCTATCTTCTTGCTCCTCCTTGATCCATAATAGCTCTTGGCTGTATGTTTTTTTCTGTTCTCTTTAGCGTTATCCTAAAGTTGGTTATCATGGCTCACTCTGAAACTATTTTAATAGTTCCTGAGTTCACAACCTGTTTCTAGCCTCTCAAATCCACCACTTCTTTAAACTGCTGTTCAAAATTCAAAATACTTTATTACTCCCAACTAGATTGAAAGCGATCTACCTTATCCTAAGGGAATAAGAGAGAAGGCTACCACAAACCGAAATGAAGCAGTAAAATAATCATGAATGAGCTTATATGCTTAGAAATTCCCAAAGAATTCACTGAAGGCCTGTTAGGGTTAGCAAGACTTTTCAATAATAATGGCTACAAAAGTAATTTAAAAATCAGTAGCTTAGCTGTAGCTCCTAAGAACTGTTGTATGAACTTTCGTCTTCAATCCAAAGACAGCGGCTTCTACTCATGAAAAATAGAATATCCATACTTGGCCCACTACCCCTAAAACATTCCATCTTAAAGTAGTATAGTCCACTAGCCTCATAAGGGCAGTCTTTAACCCCAAATCCAAGTGTTTTTCCATCATGAAGCCAACAGGATCCCGAGTCTCTATTTCAGAAGAGTGCTTTTGCTTAACTTTTTTTTTTTTAATTAGTCTCTTTAGAGAGCTGTTTTGTTGTTGTTGTTGTTGTTTTGTTTTGTTTTGTTTTCAGAACGAAGGAGGTCTATCCTTGAGATTTTCTGATTCCCTCTGTCAGAACTAACAACTGCATATGGTCCTCAAGGACAGGATTTTGATTTTCAGTTTTATGTATCACGATTTCAGTGAAATGGGGTTCTGTATTTCATTCCAGGTAAAATGTTTCCAGAGGTTTCTCACAGCGAATGGAGTCAGCAAAAACATGTACGAGTCCCATAAATCCAGTGTTCTTTCTGTACTAGTGAGTAGTAGAATCATCTATGAAGTCCAAAATGGATTTCTGAATCTGAGTCACAAGGGCACTCCTACTAAAACTAAGAAATTCTGAAGGAAAACAAATGAAACATTCTTACATTGTTCTTAGAATATTTTTAAATTTTCATTTAGATGTACAGTAGAATGCTATGGGCGGTCCAAAAAAATGACCCATTTTTTGATGGGTTTTCTAGTGTCTCCTAACTAAAGGAAAATGTTTACCACCAGGCACTGCTAGGATTTTGACATACGTACTTGTTCTGGTAATTGTGAATGTCTCTAAATATTATTTCACATGTGGATAACAGAGTTCTACTGCTTATTTATATCATCATTTCTCTTGGAAATAGGGTATTTTGTACCTGTGGACCATGCTTGATAATCATGTGAACTTATTCTCTCTGTACTCTATAGTATAATAAAACTTTAGTTCATTCCTTTGTCATAAACAATGCACTGTCATGGTTATAATGAGATTTATTCTGGTTTGAGCAAACTTATATTTTGAAACATTTACATATGTTATACTTTGCATAGAGTGAACTTCAGAGCAGAGAGAGACAAGAAAACAATCTTTTTAAAGATACGTTAGAAAAAGAAAAATTAGTATAGAATTGTGAAAGATAACCTTCACTTATGTTATTATTCCTCCAATGTCTTATATAGAAAATGTTTATAAATATGACTAAAGAGGCAGAATCCCAAAGGCTAAAGGTTTTTGTAGATATTACTACAGAATTATAAACATGATTATATAGTTTAAATACTGTTTCAGTACAGCGTTTCACAGTGAAAACTGCTGCTTTGGTCATTTATGAATGATTTAATGATAACTTCTACAACCTGTTACACAGGGCTTCCAAATTCACAAAGTGTAAACATAAGTATTATCCGATGTGAGCGAAAACTGTCCTGCTTTCCACCTAGAATTTTTTCTGCTTACATTTCTGCATCATAATTTACAATGTGGGAGCTTTTGTTTCCTATTTTTCCTTTGAGAGATGACAATCTTTCCTCTAATGCACTTCAGTTTTCAATATAATTCCTCAGTAGGCATTAAATATGGGATTTTGCTTTTATGAAATACATTACTATAAAGTTACAGTACAGTAAAAAATGAACATTTTCAAGATGCATTTCCTGTGAAGGATAAGTACACATTCGTCTCTGGCATATGGAGTGTTCGGAGGCTCACATTGTCACCATCAAACAGCATATTTAAGCTTTTCCTGGCTGATTCTAGGCTATCTTTATAATCTCCTTATATTCATACCTTTAAAATTCTGAATGAGGCCAAAGCTATCAAATAATGGAACATTATTGTCAAAGTATTGATAAGGTGGCCCACATCCCTTCACTGCGCAGGAGGAAGAGTTAGAATATACAGCTTCCTTTCAGCTTTCTCTCTGCCATGCGGATTTCTAAATGCTAGGGTTTACTATCTTGTTATTGAAATGTGTCCTTTGTCTACGACTTGCAATAATGAGGGGCTAATTCCCAGAGTCAAGTATGTATTTCAGCATTTCATAAAATGCTACTGATGTGTGGTGGAGGTCTGTTGAACCGGCAGCATTTCCAATGTATTTTTCTTCTTATCATTACATTTTTCTTTCAGAGATTTTATTCAATTAATCCTGGTGCTGTGGAGGCACATTTCTCAAATGGAACAAAGATATTTCTCTCGTTGGACTGTGGAAAGGCATACATTTTGAATTATTTATTATTTTAGTTTTTTTTTTTTTTTTTAAGATTTTATTTATTTGACAGAGAGAGAGATCACTAGTAGAGAGAGAGGAGGAAGCAGGCTCCCTGCCTAGCAGAGAGCCTGATGTGGGACTCGATCCCAGGACCCTGAGATCATGACGTGAGCTGAAGGCAGAGGCTTTAACCCACTGAGCCACCCAGGCGCCCCTTATTATTTTAGTTTTTAAGGCTGACTGTGATAAGATTAATATAGTAACTCGAATGTAATTAACTTGTGAATTTCAGATTATATTTTCCAATTTATCCAGCCCATTGTTACTGTGTATATTTTAGCAAATCTTTATAATACTTTAATTATTATGCTCATGTATGCATAGAAATAGGTCATCTGCTTATTAAGGTATACACTTAGCCGTGTTTGAATAGCCAAGATTATAGATGCATTTAAGGGCTTAGAAAGGAAATAAGAAATTGACACTCTTTGAAGGAAGTTGATAGTAATGTAAATGTCAACACATGATAGTCTTGATCAAAGAGGCAAAGGCCATGTTCGCTTACGAGTATTTTCTGTTTGCTTTGATGTTGACAGTTACCAGAACAGTCTCTCAGAATATGTGTATGTCAAAGACATTTTCCAATGAGTCCATCACTTTTTTTTTTCTTTTTGCTTAGTACAAGTCACAGATAATGTACAATCTTTTCCTTACTTCTTTTTTCCATGGCGTGTTGTTTCCTAAATTAGTTTCAATGGGTAAGCTTCCAAGAAAGACATATTTAAGAAAGAGATATTTAAGAAAGAGATAAAATTTAATGATTGTATAAGAAAGTTGAAGAGAGAATTTAAGGACAAAACTTAATGTTTCTAGTAGGAGTAACTGGATGAATAATTGTGTCATTTCTTTAGAATGGGAGTGTGCAGATGATTAATATGGTTTTGAATAATATGAGGTGCTTGTGATATCTGG